AAAGAAAATGGATTAAAAACAAATGTAAAATAAAGTGCCACCATTTAAAACACACAGGCTATGGGGGTTGGGGGAGATGCAGTATCAGACTTTAAAAACGAGGGACGAAGGAAGAAAGCAGTGAGCGGAAAGCCCAGATGATCTAGGCAGCCCAGTCCAATGCTGTCAGATTTCTGAAGCACAGAGCTCCAGGATACGCTGGCAGAGGGGTGTCGTGATCATCTATTACGACACTGATCTGATCTGCGGAAGCTCCGCTACAATGAAACAAGAGACTGCCGGACTGCAGACCAGCACATGGTCTGTCCCTCTTCTACACCTCCTGACAGGTTATTCTGAGTGACGGGAACCTGACACTGACAGCAAGCTCTACTACCCCAGTCAGCACTGACTTGGACTCCATCAAGGGTCTGACAGACATTTATGTTCTCAACTAGATTATTACTTTCTGGAAAACAGAGTACCCATTTCACTTTATTTTAACTCACATGATCTAAAATAGTGTTGTTATAACTGCTATAACAGTTAGATGTTCGAGTTGATTACCCTGAAAAAAAAAAAAAAACAATCACAACTTAAATCAGATCAGAGTTCAAAGAGATCATGGGGATCATCTAGTCTAGTCTCTTTGTCTGAAAAGCAAAGAAACTCAGAGCAGTTAAGCATCTGCTAACTCAGTGTTACAGAGCCAGGACCAGCCCTAATCCACGGATGGACAGTTTATCTAGTTCCAAATAGCCTCTAATTCTTCTGTGACAAAATGAATTATCACCTATTTCAACAGAGCAATGGTAATATCAGCTTTCCTTTCAGTATTTACTATGTGATCTGTCCGAATGTGTGATAGGGCTGCTTTTCAAACAGCTTGTCTAATATGAATGCTCACAGTGACTCTAAAAGGTAGGTAACAGCAACCTAGCTTTACAAATGAGGAAAATATAATTTGACCACGATGACAGTGAACAGCAAAACCCACTTTTAACCAGTATCCTCTAGTGTCTCTTCTTGAATACGCACGCACAGCACAATCACACAATTCTGAGTTCAGGACACACACCTGGTCCAAATCTAATAAACAAGTATTTACATGACTCACTAAACAAATGGCATCTCATTTAAAAAGTAAGGTTTTCTTACCAAAAATATCTCTAAAACTATGTCATTGTCCATGTTTCTCTGAAACAGGTTTCAACAGTGGGTAGTTTACACACAATTGGTGATTTAGCAATAGCTGACTCTATCTATCTGGAGTCTCTCTATCTAAAGTAGACAGGACAGTCTTGCCTTGTAGCTCTGGCTAGTGGGGAGCTCACAATCTTGTTGTTTCAGCTCCTCAAGTATTTGTATTATAGATGTGTTCTACCATGTTTGGCAACAGCTAAATCCTCTATCCTACAAGTAATTCATCTATTTAACAAATACTTAGAAACTATTTTTGTGACAGCATTAAATCTAAAGAAAAAAGTAAAATGAAACGCTTCTACAATATGCAAAGCCGATAAAATAAAAACTCACATGAATTTCTAAATTACTCAGAAAGTAACAATTCTTCTGGTAGTGAGTGAAAAGATAGCCTTAACAGAGCGCCTAAAGTGCGTTCACTCATATTCCGACATATATTCTCTTACAGCTCAACAAATTCTGGCAACATCAACAGTTTCTCATGAACAAATGGAAGCTTCAAGAAGTTTTGACTTCCTATCATTTCACTGCCGAGGACTCCAAACTGGAATCCAGGCCTGGGAAGCAGGCTCCACTGGCAGAGCAGTTGCCTAGTGTACACAAAGCACTGGGTTCAACCCCCAGTACCGTGTTGAGGCACATACCTACACATACCTACGATCCAGGTTATGAGGATTAGAACTCAAGGTCATCCTTTGTTACACAGGGGGTTGGAAGCTAGGCTACAAAGACACCCTGCCTGGAGGAGGAAGAGGAGGAAGAGGAAGAGGAGGAGATAAAACAGAAGCATCAGAAGTGTAATCCCAATCATTCTGGCCCCAAAGCCTGTGTTCTCCATTATCTCATTTAACCTCCTTAAGGGACCATTAGTGAGGTGCATAAATATCATCATCATCATCATCATCGTCCCAATTTCACAAACTCAAGAGAACTAGCATGCCCTGCTCTGCTCCTAACATATGTAAGGAGCGGAGTAATGCCAGGTCTACAGCAGGTGCAAGAAACTAACCAGAGAAAATAATGACATTTCAGTTCGCCCCCAGAGTTCCAGAACTGAAACCACTAGACCTTGTGTGTACTGGTAAAAGGAATTTCAACTGAACAGGAGGGAAGTTGACTTTCTAGTAATACACCATCTATTAAATAACAGACTGATAACACCTAAACTTCAAGCTTTCTATCATATCGACCAATCTCTAGACTTATTAGCAGGCTAAAAAAAAACCAAAAAAGTTTTTGAGACATGGTCTCACCATGCAGCCCTGGATAGCCTGAAACTTGCTATGTAGACCAGTCTGACTTCAAACTCAGAGACATTCCTGACCCTACCACGCCTTGCAAAATTATGTTTAGGTTAACAAACAACATACACTTTTACAAAGCTGAAAGTTTTTTTTTTTAAGTTTGGTCTGATTTTTTGAGATAGGGTATCATTTAGCCCAAGCTGGCCAAGCTGGCCAAGCTGGCCTCCAACTCATTACACTGTTAAGGATAGTCTTGAATGCCTAATCCCACTCTTTCCACCTCCAAACAGCCGCTGAGTGTCACAGAACATTAAAATATATAAAATACTTTAAGTGCTTGAAATATACCCACAGGAACAGATGAATAGAAATATTCCCTAACCACAGTTACAACACAATGTCTGAAAACTTTCTGGACATGTTTTTAGGGCTTAAGTGTACATCAAAAGAAATACCTCTAATGCCAAACCTAAGACTGTTACCACTTCAGTTTTTTTTTTAATGATTTACTTTTATTTTATGTGCACTGGTGTTTTGCCAGCAGGTATGTTTGTGTAGGGGTGTCAGATCCCCTGGAACTGGAGTTACAGACACGTGGGAGCTGCCATGTGGGTGCTGGGAATTGAACCCAGGTCCTCTGGAAGAGCAGCCAGTGCTCTCAACCACTGAGCCATTTTTCCAGTCCCTACCACTCCAATTTTTTACAAAGTTTATTCTACTGCATAGTTCTGTCAGAAGCCCAAAATCACTTTTTCTAATGGGACTTGTCTAAGCATATATTTCTAAGAAACTATCCAGTTTTGTGTGTGTGTGTGTGTGTGTGTGTGTATAATCAAGTTATGAATGAAGATGATGACGGAGAATGAACATATGATGAGAAAGCGGTCCTTGTTATTCACAATTTTCGCAAGACACAAAATCCAGAAAGAAAAAAAAAATCAATGTCACGCCACGTAACCACCTTTGTTCACCCTGTCGGTGAACACCACAGATTTGGGCACGATATCCAACCTCAAGACACGACCTGAGTTCTGCAGGGAGCTGCGCTACCCCTGTTCCCTTCCCCGCACCTCACCGGGCACCGTTAAACCCCCCCCCCCCCGAATGCATGAAGCATTGCTTCCAGGTCTTCACTCAACACCAACTCGGCCACACACCGGGAGGTAAACAACTACGGGACGTGAGCGATCTGGGACAGAAACGTTCACTTGCATGAGAAGATACAAAAGAAACGATGGGAAACGTGTTGCTCTAACCTCCCCAACACACACCCGCTTCCTAAAACAGCTGTACTTTGACAACCTAACGTGTGCGCGGGGGTGGGGGGGGGTATCCCGAAAGTTCTGACCCCTCTTTCTTTTTTCTTTTTCTTTTTAATGGCTTAAGGGCAAATACTTAAAACACCGAAATTCGACATCCTGAGCGGCGAGGTGGTGGCTATGACATATCCTGGAAGGACATCACTTTGCCCAACTACTCTCCCCCCACCCCTCCGCCCCCTGCCACCACGGGTGAACTAACTAACGGAGAGAGAGAGTAGTGTCATTCCCCACGACGAAGGAAGGGATGGAGAAAGGGAAAGAAGAAGAAAAAAAAAATCAAAAGCAGGCCAGCGCTCCCTCCTCGCCCTGGCGAGGCTTGGAGCGAGGCGCCCAGGGGGCTCCGGCTGAGGTTGCAAAGGGTCAGCACCCGCCTCCCTCCCTCCCTCCCTCCCCCGGTCCGTCCGCGTCGCCCCTGCACCCACCAGCAGCAGCAAGCAGCCCGGCGACAAAGCGGACCCGTCCACATCCCCACCTCTGCCCTCCTCCTCCTCCTCCTCCTCCTCCTCCTCCTCCATCCAGGCACCGCCAGGGACGGCGTCCCAGCATGAGTGAGCCCGCCCCGGCCCGGGCCCGCCCCGCTATCTCCTCCCCCGTTATCCGCTCGCCGCCGCCGCCGCCGCGGCCGCTCGGGCCTGGACTCGCTCCTTCCAGCCTCCCCCTCACCACCACCACCATCCCCATCCCACGGCCCACCGCGCGGCCGCCGCCGCCGCCGCCGCCCTGGGCGAGGCCGGAGGGAGCGGGGGACCGCGGGGCCGCACGCGGGGCCCGGGTGGGGTGGGGGAGAGGGCGGGGGAGGGATAGGCGCTCGCTCGGGGCGCGGTGTCGGCCCCCTCACCTCGGGGTGGAGAAGGGGCACGCAGCCCGTGTCCGTATCGTACTCATCCGGGCCGTCCGCCATCTTGGTGTTAAATCCCTCCTCCCGCGGCATGCCGGGAGAAAGCGTTTCGGCCCCGCGGGGGCTCGGCGGAGGCGGAGGGCGAGCGCGCGGGCGCTGCGCGGGCCCCGGCGCGGGCGACGCGGCCGCCGCCTCCTCCTCCTCCTCCACCTCCTCCTCCACCTCTTCCTCCTCCTCCTCCTCCTCCTCCCCCGCCAAGCCCCCGGGACGCGCCCCCCCCCCTCAGCCCCGCCCTCCCGCCCGCCGAGGGCGCGGGTCCCGCTGCGCGTGCGCCTGCGCGGTCCGGGAGCTCTTCCTCCCTCCCCCCCCCCCCCCCGCGCGCGCCCCGGGCCGGGGGGGAGAGTGTGTGCGCTCTGCTGCACTGCGCCGGGACAACGGGACGGCGCGCTGGGCGTGGGCGCTCGCCGCGGTCCCGGGGCGGGTCCCGGTCCCGGTCCCGGTCCGAGGCCGATGCTGCTCGGTTGGCTCCGGTCACCCCGGAAAAAGCGGTGCAGTGCAAGGCCGGCCCCCCCCCCCCCTCCTTGGGAAGCTCCGAGGGCCACGGGCATGACCCCCACCCCACCCCCACCCCGAGGTCAAGGGTGCATTCTTCTGCCCCTGGCCTCGGGGACACCCGAAGAGACAAGGACGGAACCTGCCTTCCTGGGAAAGCTTTTTGTTATGGGACGCTCGCTTTGGTGCCTGAGCTCTTGGTGCATTTCTAAATGACTGTTTTGCAAGGTCAAAGCCCCCGCACGTTGCCATCTGCTACATTTTGATACGACCCAGGAATTCAGAACTGAAAGCCCCGGAGTGTGACCTAGATAAAAAGGACTAAAGCCATCTTTAAGAGGATATTAGGGCTGGGAGGGAGGCTGATGGAACAATTGTAGAAAAGGATTTGTTTCTGGTTTGGGCTAAGAGGGATTGTAAATCTGTACAGCGCCCGGGGCACATTGAGCAGAGAGCGACCGGTTAACGACCGATTAGACATCCTAACACTAGCCAATTAAAGCCAAATCAACCAAAGGTCACCAGGAAGAAACCTGCAATCGGACAAAACCAGATTTATTTGTAAATCGGGAGGAAGGCGCCAGAAGTTTAAAAAAAAAAAAGGGAGATGGAGGAGGAAACCCCTTTGTAAGGTTTAGGTTCCCGCCAAAAGAATCTGAGGAGGGTCGAGGGAGAGCTGGGATCGGTTCTGGATTGGACCTCGATTCTGAGGAGGTGAGGAAAAACGGGGAATAGCAAGGCATTGGATGCGATCATGAGGCTAGGACAATTTCATAACAAACGCGAATGACAAGGTACACTTAGTGTTCGTGGGTAAAAGAGCAGTGATCATTCAGAAATGATGAATGCTGTTTTGTAGCTGCTTCTGGTGGGGGAAAAGATGCTGTATCCGTGTGTATCCTCAGCACAGCCTTTCCTTCCGGCGTGGACCGATTTTCACTCTTTTTAGTCCGGCAGAAACCAGGAATCATGCAGACCTAAACAGAATTTCGAGTTCTCCGTTTACAGCTCCAATTTTTTTTTTCAGTCATGTGTCAACATGGACAGAATCCGTTTTATTGGCATATTCCGGCCCACGTCTCCTTACCCTGACGCTCTTTGCATTTACTTAAATCTAGAGAAAAGAGTAAAGAGAGAAAGTCGAGTGAAAGGAACAGGGGAGAGGCTGTGGCATTAAAACGAACAAAAATCCCACACTGAATGAAGTGAATGAGGAAAATAGACATGGAGATAACAAAAAACAAAAAAGCATTCCATGAGTGCCCATGGATTAGAAATATTAGTTCAGGGCGTAGTGGGAATAGTCATAAAAGAGGTGTTCAGGGTGGGAACCCTAGGTTCCCAGGGTATTTGGGTGGAAGGGTCAGAGTCAAACTGAGTCAGCAAAAATCTACCATTTAGACCACATAGTAGTCTGGTAGTTTTCAAAATACAGCTTAACTAGATACCAAAATTTAAAAAAAGAAGTTTCAATTTTTTAAAAATGAAGATTTTTTGGCTCCTCTTGCTTTCTGTCCATCATTCGTTGGACAGCCTCCCTCATATTGCTCCCACCACCACGATGCTCTGCATCGCTCAGACCCAGAACCAGTGAATATAAAGACTGCTGACCAAAACCTTCAAAACTGAGAACCAAAATAAACTTTCCTCTGAAAAGAATGTCTAAGTCTGGAGCATGGGGTACCTGAGCCTTCTTGTTCAGCCACTGCCGGACATAGTCCTGCCTTACTCATTATCTGATTGGCTATTATAGGAGACATTTGTATTTGTAACTTCTGAGAAATCTACAACTTCCAGAGGAAAATATTAATGCCAAAAGTGGCTGACAGGAAAATGAAACGGAAAATGAAAATGAACAATCCATGTCGTCCTTCCTCCCTACAGTAAGGTGGAGATAAAATTACTAGAGGGACAACTGGTAAACCAGGAGCCAAAGCAGCCATTCTGGTCTTCACCCAGTGGCACACTCCAGAGGTGAAGATAAGGGAATCGGGAGTTTACAAGCCAGCCGGGGCTTCATTGCATGACTCTTGTCTCAAAACACACACACACACACACACACACACACACACACACACACACACACACACACAGCACCTGGTCTTGGGAAAGCATGTTAGATTGGATGAGGTTCAGTACGGACCAAAATGAAGCTGTTGACTCTGAGCAGGCTCCGCCTTGGTCATTGCAGAGTTCTTATCTACACAGCCTGAATCTGAGATAACATTTCCAAGGGACCGTAAGTACAGCGAGTGTGCTGATTGTACTGATGATGAAAGAATGGCATCCATAGATAAGAAAGAGAAGTATTGACCTCGTAAGGACAGTAGTGAAGTGGGTGTGGGGACAGGAAGATTGGAAGGAATGGGCTCCAGTGGTGTGGATATGGTTTAATAGGTAACCTGAGAGGCAACCTTTAGCTGTCATTTAATTCCTAGTCCAATGTCACCATTTCACAAATGGGCAAATGATGGGGAGTCTAGAGACCTGCTTAAAGCCACACAACCAGTCTGTTACATAATTACATCTGGAAGACGCCTGAGGATCCCCTTCTACTACTTTACTGCCATCCCATATTTCTTCTGTTATAATTATCTGCAATGAACTATTTAGTTTATTAGGTGATTTAAGAAAAATTATGTGTAGGTATGTATTGGTGAAATTATTAAGGCCACTCCACGTAGTTAAAAGGGAGGTTTATTTTGTGGGGTAACTTATAAGTGAAGGGATAGGGTGCAGGGTCTGGCAAAGGTGTGGCGCAGTCCGGCGGTGGTCTCTGGAGAACTCTGCTCAGTCTACCTCCAGCGTCCAAGGTCCAGGAACCAAGAGAGCCAGGGCATCCGGATCCCGGGTCTTCAGGGGTCCTCTCTCGGCCCCGCCTTGTAAGCGTGACAGTTACCGAAGCCTCGATGGGGGTTGGAACTTCCAGGTCAAAGCTGGAATGGCTACCCACTACAGGTATGTGTGTCTGCGTGTGAGTATATGTATGTGAGTGTAGTTGCCCACGAGGACCAGAGGCATTGGAGCCCCTTGAGTTGAAATTACAGAAGGTTGTGAGGGGCCAGGTGTGGGTTCTAGGAACCAAACTCTGGAAGAGCAGCAAATGTTCTTAACCATTGAGCAATCTCTCTAGCCCTTATTTAGTGGTTGTTTTTTTTTAATTATGGTAAAAAGCATGTCACATGAGATGTGAACTGTTAACTACACGGTACGGCACTATTAACTATAGACACAATGTTGTGCCACAGATCCCTAGAGCCCATCTTGTTGTAGAATATTATTTTAAGGTGTGTTACTTTTGTTTGTGTTGCATTTGTTTAACTCTGTGAAGCTGTGTTACTGTGCCTGTCTAAAACACCCAATTGTCTAATAAAGATCTGAACAGTCAATAGCAAGGCAAGAGAAAGGATAGGCGGGGCTGGCAGGCAGAGAGGATAAATAGAAGGAGAAATCTGGGAGGAAGAAGTAGTAGCCAGGAAAGGAGGAGGGCTCCAGGGGCCAGCCACCCAGCTACACAGCCAGCCACAGAGTAAGAGAAAGGAAAAGCACAGAGGCAAAAGGTAGAGGATAATTTAAGTTAAGGAAAGCTGGCTAGAAACTAAGCCAAGTTAAGGCCGGGCATTCATAAGTAATAATAAGCCTCTGTGTGTGACTTATTTGGGAGCTGGGTGATGAGCCCCCCAAAAGAGCAAAAACCAACAACACCATCCGGCAGGTGATATACTTTATACTCACTGAACAGCACCTCCATCTTCTTTTTTTTTTTTTTTTTTTTTTTTTTGTGCTGAGGATCAAACCCAGGGCCTTGTGCTTGCTAGGCAAGCGCTCTACCTCTGAGCTAAATCCCCAACCCCAGCACCTTCATCTTTACACTACTCTAGCTCCTGCCAACTACCATGCTTTCTTCTTCTATACTTTTGACGGTCTTCATATTCCTTAAGTAGAAGCATGTAGTATTTCCTATGGCTGGTTTATTTTGCTTAACATAATGTAATCTGAAGGTTTATCTGTATTGTATATGATAGCAATTCCTTCTTTTTAAGAACTGAACAATATTCCACTGTAATTGCACAGCACATTTGCGTTATCCACTCACCTCGCAGAGAGTGTTCTTCATTGTCAGAGACCAACTCTGACCTGTCAAAGAGTTCTTGGGGGGTAGGAGAGAAAGGAATGAGGAAGTATTAGACAGAAATATCGGCAGAGACAAGAAAGACAGAGACACAGGATAGCTTTGGGAGGGCCCTGGGTCATTACCCAGCTGCCTCGTCCCGTCCCTCCCCCCTCCCCCCTCCCCCCCCCCCCCCCCCCCCCCCCCCCGGAGATGAGGACCGAACCCAGGGCCTTGAGCTTGCTAGGCAAGCACTCTACCACTGAGCTAAATACCCAACCCCTCGTCCTGTAGTCTAATGGGCTTTTTATACACTACCAAAGGAAGAGGCAGAAAACCTCCCCATTTCAAGATCAAAGCACAACATACAGCCAAGTGTAGACCCTTCAAAACACCTAGTAACCACGCCTGTGGCCAAATCATCCCGTTATGCAGCCCTGCTGAGTAAACCAAGCACAGATTCTCTGACCTTGACTAAGGTAGGGAGCCTCTGGATGCCCCCATACTTCATCTCTTGGCTATTGTGAACAATGTTGGTTGACATGCGCGATGGCGCAGTCACTTTGGAAAACAAAATGCGGGATTTATTAGAACGGCTTACAGGCTGTGATCCAACAATGGCTGTCTACCAATGGCCAAGAATCCAGCAGTTAGTTGTTCATTCCACGAGGCTGAAGGTCTCAGCTGATGTTCAGTACATGCCAGTATTCTGAGGGTCTTGCCAGCAAGAGCGAGGGCAAGAAGGCAATGAAAGAGAGCAAGCTTCCTTCTTCCATGCCATTTAGGCTACCCACCGAGGGTGTGGCCCAGATTAAAGGTGGATCTTCCCACCTCTAAAGATCCAGATTAGAAGTCAGTCTTCTCACATCAAACGATGTAATTAAAAAAAAAGAAAAATCTCCCACAGGTGTACCCAGCCCCTTGGATTTTCATGAGTCCCCGGGTGTAATCAAGTTGACAACCAACAAGAGCCATTGCAACAAGGGGTCCCATTTCTCCACATCCTTGCAAACGCTGGTTGCTGTTTTAGGTTTTCTGTGTCTGGTAGGTTGGTTGGTTTTTACATTTTAGAGTTTTCTTTATTAGGTTACAGAATAGTAGGTTTTCTTCTGGTATTTTCATACATAGAGTCCCTCCCACCTTCTCTCCCCCATCTCCTCGTTCCTGCTTCCCGGATGTGCCTTTCAGCTCCCATAGGAGCTTCTGTTTTCGTATCTCATGTCTTCTACTGCCTCTTCTACCTTCCTCCCTTAAAGCCTCCTTTTTTGCATCCTCAGTCATTTTCTAGTTTCCTGTCCTCTACCCACACTTCCTCCCACCTACATATTCACATTTAACAGAAAGAAGCTGTCATGGGACACACATACGGGAGAGAACATACCTTATCTGTCTTTCTGATCCTAGGTTATCTTACTAAAATATTCTCCAGTTCCTTCCATTTTCCTTCAGTTTTCATAATTTTGATTTTCTTTTTTTTTTTTTTTTGGTTTTTCAAGACAGGGTTTCTCTGTGTAGCTTTGCGCCTTTCCTGGAACTCACTTGGTAGCCCAGGCTGGCCTCGAACTCACAGAGATCCACCTGGCTCTGCCTCCCGAGTGCTGGGATTAAAGGCGTGCGCCACCACCGCCCGGCAATTTTGATTTTCTTAATAGCTACATTTCAATTCCACTGCGTATAAATACCATGTTTTCATTATCGGTTCATCTGTTTTGTGTACCTAAGCTGTCTCCGTTCCTTTGCTGGTATGAATAGGGAAGCAGTAAATATGGATGTGCGAATGTCTATAGTAGGCTAGAGAGCCCTTTGAGTATAGGCTCAGGGTGGTATAACTGGGTCATAGGGTAGGTTTATTTTTAGGGTTTTTTTTTTTTTTTTGAGAAGCTCCCACACTGATTACTTCCTTCACCCCTTACAATTGTTTTTTCTTTTTTTTTCTTTTTGAGACAGAGTCTCTCGTAGTCTCAAACTCACTATTTAACTGAGAATGACCTTAAACCCATGATCCTCCATTGCCCACCTCTCAGGTGCTGGATTACAGGTGAGTGCCACTATACCCAGCTGCTCTTTGATTTTTGATAGTGTTCATCCCAACAAGTGTGTAATAGCTCATTGTGGTTTTCATTCAGATATCACTAATAATTAGCCATTTGGGACATCCTTCATAAAACTGTAGGCCATTAGCATATCTTTAGAGAAATATGGCCCCTTGTTACTGGATTGTCTGGGGTTTCTCCGTTGAGTTGTAGGAATTCTCTCTGCCTCTTTTGGATTCTGGTCCCATAGGTGTGATTGGCACATGTTTGCTCCCATTCTGCAGGTTGGGTTTTCACGTTATCGATTGACTGCTTTGCTAAGTAGATGGTTTTTAGCTCAGGGTGATCCTGCTTGTCCAGTTCTGCCTTTGTGGCTCGTGCTTTTGTGTCGTATCTGAGGCATCGTTGCCAAGCCCAGCGTCCTGAAGGTGTCACGCGCTTCCTTCTAGGAGTTTGTGTAGTTTGAGGTCCTGTGTGTCCATCTCATTTTGAATTGATTTTTGTGTAAAATATGAATCTAATTTCATTCTTTTTAAACGTGGAATATACTTTTCCAAGAGTCATCTTTGTGCCCCTCCTTCTCTGAAATGTTTTTGACTATGTAGATATTTTTCCCATATGAATTTTAGGATTTTTTTAAAGCATCTACTTTTTTTTTAAAGATTTATTTATTTATTATGTATACAGTGTTCTGCTTGCATGTATCCCTGCAGGCTAGAAGAGGGAGCCAGACCTCATTACAGATGGTTTGAGCCACCATGTGGTTGCTGGGAATTGAACTCAGGACCTCTGGAAGAACAGCCAGTGCTCTTAACCTCTGAGCCATCTCTCCAGCTCTCTTTTTTTTTTTTAAGAGCTATTGGATTTTGAAGGATGCATTGAATCTGTACATCATTTTCAGTAGTATAGTGTTGTGGAATATTATTTTAAGGTGTGTTACATTTGTCTATGTTGTGAAACATTTGTTTAATGATGCAAAGATGGGAGCCGGGCAGCAGTGGCACATGCCTTAAATCCCAGCACTCAGGAAGCAGAGCCAGGCGGATCTCTGTGAGTTCGAAGCCAGCCTGGTTTAACTGTGTCTTTCTTCATTTCTTTCATCAGTTACTTGTAATTTTTAGTGTACCAGAATTCCATTTCCTTAGTTAAGGTTCCCATTTTGTTTTTTTTGATGGCTATCATAAATGGTATTATTTTTCTTAATTTCCCTCTCAGATAGCTTATAGTTAGTGTATAGAAACACACTAATGTATGTATGTTTCTTATTCTCTAACCCAGGCTGGCCTAGAACTCAGAGCAATCCTCCTGCCTCAGTTTCCTGAGTTGCTGAGGTCACAGTGTGAGGCACCGCACTCAACTTGACAAGTGATTTTTATTTGCTGATTTTGTACCCTGTAATTTTTTGTTCTAAGATATGGCAATTAAACATTTTTTTTCTGAACAAATGTTGGAAATAGTAACCATAACATAGAGATACTCTTAATCTTAAAATTCTTATATTCCAGTCCTTCTTAGATTATTTGGACTGGCTAAATTCTGTTACATAATCACAACGCTTTGAATTCCACCAAGTATATTTATGATAAGATTTCTGTCTAAGCCATTGTGCAAATTTCTGTGTGTCATTGGAACTGCCAGCATTAGAACTAAACAATACTGCTCCTTAGAACTAGGCTGAGGCAAGGGCCCACGAAGAACAACACTCTACAACCCCACTTGAGATGAAATGTGGACCATTTTCCCCTCAGATTCGGTATTAGTCACTGATGCCAACTGAATCAAACTAGAAAATTGAAAGAAATATGTGGAATGGGTGTAGCTGATGATAAATTTCTAAGAAGCCCATTTAAGAGGAAACAACATACACATTATAACTAAATTTTTAAGAAAAAGCAGGTGAAAGCAACAATGTGTTCTCAAGCACTCTCCCACACCCTTTCTCACCCTCTATCCAGGCCCCGTGTGCTTCTTGTTTCTTTCTTTTCTTTTCTTTTCTTTTTTTTTTTTCTGGAGACAGGGTTTCTCTGTCATTGTGGTGCCTTTCCTGGATCTCGCTCTGTAGCCCAGGCTGGCCTCGAACTCACAGAGATCCGCCTGGCTCTGTCTCCCGAGTGCTGGGATTAAAGGCATGTGCCACCATAGCCCCACAGTGCTTCTTGTTTCTTGTCATGAAGTTAGTCACTCATGTTCCTCGTCATGACTACTGGACTACAGAACAAATGCCTGTACATCTTCACTGACCCGGAAAGCCATTCCTCTGGCTGTTGTGGAGGAAGTGGCCCTAGCTACCTGACATTCACCGTCCTCACTTCTGTCTTAGTCACTGTTCTGTTGCTGTGAAGAGGCACCAGGACAAAGCCAACTCTTACCAAAGAAAGCATTTAACTGGAGCTGACTTACAGTTTCAGAGGCTCAGTCCGTTACCATCATGACAGGGAACATGGCGGCATGCAGGCGGGTGCTGGAGAAGTAGGTGAGAGCTACATCCTGATCCATAAGCAGAGGAAGAGACTCTGGGCTTGGCATGAGCTTTTGAACCCTCAAAGTCCACCCCTAGTGACACACTTCCTCTGGCAAGGCCACACCTCCTAATCCTTTTAATCATTTCAAATATTGCCACTCCTTGATGATGAAGCATTCAAACATATGAATCTATGGGGGGCATTCTTATTCAAACCACCACACCATCCCTGATTCTAGGGCAAGATGAGGCTGTGGTTCAAGCATCGTTAATTTAGGAATGGAAGGAGCTACAGCTGTGGTGCTAAGGATGACTAGATTTGGCCTTGCTGGACCCCTGCTGGTATTCCTGTTCAGGGCTTCATTAAGATAGTAAGTGTTGCGGGTTGTTGGCTGATATTAGATCACTTCTAGAAAGTTCTCCAGCACTGCCCCGTCTACAAGTCTCTGTTATTAGAAGAGCGTGTTATGTCAGGAAACTTAAGCTCTTCTTAAATCATCGTCTTAACTTGAGAGTACACTGGAATTTGGAAGCAGGAATCTTTTATTAGGCAGGGTCTCACTGTGTAGTCCTGACTGGCTTGGAACTTGCTTTGTAGACCAGGCTGTCTTTGGACTCACAGAGCTCGGCCTGCCTCTGTCTCCTGAGTGGTGGGATCAAAGGCATGTGCCAGGCTAGCAGATGATTTAATAAATCTGAATATGTTTCTGTCCAGGTTTTCCAGGCTAGTTAGACAGACTAGCTAGGTTCAGACCTAATTCTGACCTCTTAATTCTGTGACCTGGGGGCAGTACTTAAGTTCTTTGTTTATGATGTGTTTGCAATTGCCATTCCATCTCTTTGCTCAGCCTTAGACAGCCTGTATTGTTCTAGAACACAATACGGCAGGGGTTTTGTTTTTTGGGGTTTTTTTGTTTGTTTGTTTTTGTTTTTTAATATTCTTTCCTCTATATCAAATTTGGTTTCTACTTTTTTTTTTTTTTTTTTTTTTGAGACAGGGTTTCTCCCTATAGTTTTGGTGCCTGTCCATCTTGCTCTGTAGCCCAGGCTGGCCTCGAACTCACAGAGATCCCCTGGTTCTGCCTCCTGAGTGCTGGGATTAAAGGTGTGCGCCACCGCTGCCCAGCTTGGTTTCTACTCTTAGTTTCTGCTTGGAGATTAAGAATTTAATCTTGATCTCTGTGAGTTCGAGGCCAACCAAGTGAGTCCCAGGAAAGGCGCAAAGCTACACAGAGAAACCCTGTCTCGAAAAACCAAAAAAAAAAAAAAAAAAAAAAGAATTTAATCTTCTGTTGGCTTCTCTGTACATCAAGGAGGTGATGTGTAGAGAAATGTTGGTCAAGGGAATAAAAATACAGGCTCATTAGAAAGCGTGGGTCCTGAGATGTGTGCGCTCCATCTAGGTGAAGCTTCTGCCTCCTTTCCATAGAGAGATATCCCCAGACAGTCACTTGCTCCCCCGTCCCGGTGAGTATCCCTGGAGACACTACTTTCATCCGAGTCAGAGCTGTCGTGCGTGCTTCCTAACTCAACAGCTTTTCTCACAACCTTTTCTAATATTATAGAATAAGAAAATGAAAAATGGCTGGGCAGTGATGCACGCCTTTAATCCCAGCACTTGGAAGGCAGTGGCAGGCGGATCTCTATGAGTTCGAGGCCGGCCTGGTCTACAGAGCAAGTTTCAGGACAGCCAGGGCTACACAGAGAATCTCTCTGTGTCTCAACTCCCCTCCCCCCAAAAATGAAAAATGCAAAGAAGCATTAGGAGTTTTTCCCCCAAAAAACTTGAGGATATTTATGTGGGTTCCAGGGATCACACTCGGGCCCGTTACCTGCTGAGCCATCTCAACCCCTCCCCATGGTCTGTTACAGTTCCAGTTCTTGACCGATGCACTTAACCTGGGAAGAACTTTCGGAAGCCATCCATCCTGCTGTCTTCAGACAGCTCATCCTCAGCCATCGCGATGCAGAAGAAAGACGATTCCAAGAAACTGGCTCTGGCTTGGCCGCTAATTAACGGTATAATTTCTATCATTCCCCTCGATCTCTCAGCCCGTTTTGTCATTTGTAAAATAAAAGGGCTTGAGAGACATACTCTCCAGAGGGTCTTTCATGCCTGTGGATCTGATGACAGAAGAACCATCTTAGATCGTTCTCTTTCAGACTTCCTCAATGAAAAGTCATCTTCCGTAATAAAGTCAGAGGTTGCTACAATCAACTTTTGTTTTTCAGTTTTACTCTCAGAAAAGTTTCCTCTTCCTTTTTTTCTTTTCTTTCTTTTTTAGATTTATTTCTTTTATGTGCCTTGGTGTTCTGCCTGCATGTGTATCTGTGTAAGGGTGTCAGATCCCCTGGAACTGGAGTTGCAGACAATTGTGAGCTGCCATGTGGGTGCCCATCTCTTCACCCTTCCTCTTTCTATCTTAAGTTCTTCAGTCTGTGAGTCTTTTTTTCTTCCTTAATAGTCTTTCTTAATAGTCTCCTTAACCTTTTCTTTTCTTTTCCTTTTTTTTTTTTTTTTTTTTTTTGAGACAAGGTCTTACTAAGTTGCCGAGGTTAGCCTTGAACCTGCAACCTGCAATCCCTTGACCTCAGCCTGCCAGGTGTCTGAGATTGTAGGCCTTCACCACCAAGCCTAATTTTATCTTTTTTACCTAAGTCATTTCAGAACAAGCTTGTTCTTAATAAAAACTACCAGACTGCTGTCAGTAAAAAACTCTTTTTCCCTATTTCCAAATATTCACTCACATAAGAAGTACCAATACCAATGCTCAGAGACTTCTCATTGGGTATTCTGCCTCTCAGGGAAGATAAGAGAAGCTTAAGTATTGTGACTGTATCATCTAGTATTCCCATTTTCCTGTGCTGGATGACACCCTTCCTAGCTACATTCACAGAGCAAGAAGAATGGCTGAAAGTACCATATTAAGAGACTAGAATAAAACCAGGTGTGGTGGTACATGCCTCTAATCCCAGCCCTCAGGAAAGGAGGCAGAAAGATGAAGAGTTCAAGGCCAGTATAAGCTACATAATGAGATCATGTCTCTAAGTTAATTGATCAGTTAATTAATCCCTACATTCCCACAGGATCCAATTCAAAATACCTGTCCATGTCAACAATTCTTCCGGTTATTTTTTGTGAACATGTTGTTTGTCTAATAAACCACTTTAAAATACTTCATTTTCTGATGTGTCTGGGGGAGTATATGCCGCGTGTGTAACAGGTGAGCAGAGTGGCCAGAAGAGGGGATATAAACTGGAGTGACAGGCATTGTGAGCCGCCTGATGTGGGTGTTGAGAAGTGAACTGAGTCCTCTGGAAGAGCAGCAAGTGCTCTTAACCAATAAGTCATCTCTCAGCCCCGGTAAACCAATTTCTTTTCTTTTCTTTTCTTTTCGGTTTTGGTTTTTGGCTTTTCAAGACAAGGTTTCTCTGTGTAACAGCTCTGACTGTCCAAGAACTTGCTTTGTAGACCAGGCTGGACAATTTTTAAAGTCTAGAAAGATTGCATATACTTTAACTTTTAAAATAAGAAAAATAAGCTTAAGTCTCTTTGCCTCCCTACTTACCCAACAACAGTTCCCAGAGTTCATTATGGTTGATCATAGTCTTCCTAAACCCTTTAAACACACAAAGAGGCTTTGGCCAATGAGGGGCCAGACACATGACAGTGGTTTCGTTAGATCATAAAGGAGCTGAACCTTAGTCTAGTTTAGTGGTATCGTAGCCATTGGTTGTAATGCACCATGTTCCTGGTGTGGGTGCTGATGCTGGTATGAATTGTGCTATCAGTTAAACACAGTAATATGATTATGTACTTAATACTGAATAATAATAAGAGATTCTTATGTTACTGATTTATCAATGTATCATACTGTACTGTTATTTTATAATGTACTCCTTTAAAAACAGACTCATTTTTGTTTTTAAAAGTGTGTGTGTGTGTGTGTGTGTGTGTGTGTGTGTGTGTGTGCGTGTGCGCGCGTGCACTGCATGCTCTGGAGCTGGAATTACAGGTGGTTGTTAACTGCCCAACATGGGTGCTGAGAACCAAACTCCGGTCTTCTGGAAGAGTGGTGTAGGCTCTTAACCACTGAGCCATCTCTCTAACTCCATAGAACGTGCTAATAACACTTATAAGGAAAAGGACTTATAGGGAAACAGCCTGCCAAGTGATGCCATCGGTTGTGCCGTGCATCTCCCAAATGCTGCACTTGATTGCCGAATTTCTTCTGAGTAGTTTAATCTCACATCTTATTCATTGTGATCCTAGGAGTAATAAGCTATACCATATAGCCTACTTATGTAAAAATCTATACCATCTAGGTTTGTGTAAGTACCCTTTGATGTTCACACAATGAGGAAATTGCATCACACATTTCTGAGACTGAGAAGTACATATATATTTATATATAGATTTCCACATATGTATTCTGAAAATATGGTATTTTAACTGTGTAAAATATACCACGCTCTTGTTCATTCTGAGATATTCTTCAAAGTCAGTGTTTATAATGATTTACATAGTATTTCCTTACGTAGTTTATGTCATTTATCAATAGAAAAGTATTGGCTTTAAGCAACAGAAAACTTAAGGTGACTTATGATTTACTTATTTTTATTTCATATGCATTGGTGTTTTGCCTGAATGTAGATCTGTGAGGGGGTGTCAGATCCCCTGGAGCTGGAGTTATAGACAGTTACAAGCTGCCACATGGGTGCTGGGAATTGAATGTGAGTCCTCTGGAAGAGCAGCCAATGCTCTTAACCGCTGAGCCATCTCTCCAGCCCCTAAGGTGGCTTAAACAGTAAGAACATTTATTATACAAGAAATCTAGAGTCAGTGAAGTTCAACAATCTGATGACATTTGAAGATCCAAGTATTTTTCAGGTTAGTTCAACAGCTCAGTACTGTCATGACGATTTTATCAGATCCCTTGCTCTGCTTTGCCAGTCTCGGAGAAAAGTGAGAAATTTCGTGTCCTCAACATAGCTATAACAGCTGTAGGTATTATTCATCACACAGCAGCATAGATAGGCAATGAAAAGACTGTTCCTCCTCATGTGCCTCTTTTTTGAGCCAAGGAACACTTGCAGATCTCGCTGCTCAAGATTTAAGTACAGGTGTATGCTAAGCCAATCTTTGGCACAAGAGCTGAAGCCGCATTGAATGTTCAGGAGATTGGCAGACAGGCTTCTGGGCTACATCTGTCCCCTCAGCTGCCTTTGCACAGCTCATGGACTATGGGTGTTATATTTTTTGTGTCTTAACGACTTCTTAATTTTTGTTTTTCGTGTATAAGTGTTTTGCCTGTATACATGTAAGTGCACTGAGTGCATGCCTGATGCCCAGAGAGGCCGGGAGAAGGTACTCAACTCCCTGAAAATGGAGGTGTGGATGGTTGTATGTAGGAGCTGGGAACTGAAACCAGGTGCTCAGAGCAAGCAGTGCTCCGAACTACTGAATAATCTCTCCAGCCCCAGGTATTACATTTCTAAACGAGGGAAAGAATGGGAAGTAATCAATCTTACACACCTTTGGTTTGGTTTGCATTTTGTTTGTTGAGACAGTTTCTCTATGTTGTTCGGGCTGTCCTGGAACTCCCTATGTAGACCAGGCTGGCCTCAAACTCACGGAGATCCAACTGCCTCTGCCTCCTGAGTACTGAGATTAAAGATATATGCCCATGTGTTTATGTTCTACATCTGTGGAGTCAGCTAACCCAGGATTGGGAATATTTAACAAGGAAAAATCACATCTGTATTGAACATGTACACACTTTTCTCGCCATTTCTTAAGCAACAACATATAACTACTTATGCAGAATTTACATTGTATTTGGCATTACAAGAAGTTTTGAGATGACAACGCCCATTGGTGGATGTGCACAGGTTACATGCAGATACTATGCCATTTTACTTGAGGCTTCACACATTTTTGTATCCCTCGGAGTCTTAGAGATATGACCGTAATGCTCTGTGACACAGGAAAATGATAAAATAAATGCAAAGGTCAATGTCCCTAGCTAAAGCATAGATGTTCTTAAAGGATGCTTTCCCTCTGCAGTAGCAGAGTCTAAGAGTTACAGTGGAAAACCATGAAGGTCACAAACCCAGAACATTTACTAATCTGGTTACTTACTGGAAAAAGTTACTCATCCCTCGCTCACAGTATCAACTGGGGACACAGAGCATTCCTGCACAAAGCTATGTAGTCAGTAAGGACAAACAAAATTGAGCTCTTCCTGGAAAGACTGGGAAGGAAAAATAAATGGAGCAGATAGAAATCAGCAGTGTCTACTTATGTTGCCACACGCTTTCTCCAGAACTTTCGATCAGCGGAGAGCAAATTCATCTTAAAGTGTCTCGATGCTGGGAAGAGATTTGGTTCACATGGCTTCAGTTGCAGGACAAGGTGTGGGACCATGACAAAAATAATTATTAACTTGTTATGTGTATGAGAGAGTTCCCAATGACATCGTATGCGTAGTCTTTTGCATCTGGTCCCTGCTGACCTCCTTTGGTATCCCCCGACATCTCAACCATGTGGTTAATGATGCTTCTTCCACTGTGGAATATTTGCAATTCTCTGATCTCACCAAGACTTTTCCCAACTGTTGTTCGTGTTGTTGCGTCTACCTGAAACACACTTCCCTCTTGCCCACCTGGCCAACTTATTGAAACTTTAAGGCCTAACTCAAGTGTTACTGCCTTGGAAACACCATCTAGAACATCCTTTATGTTCTGCTTTACTTTGAAATCTCTTCTAGGGTTCCCTAGGAAGAAAAGCCAGAGACTAGGGCTTCCTCGGATTGATTCCCTTTGTGATAGGATTCCAGGAAACAAGAGTTGGGGATAGGAGAACAAGAGTAAAAACCAGTAAAAAGAAAACCAAGTGTGCAGTACATGGCAGAAGACACTTACTGTTGCAGGCAATGGAGACTCGATCCTACTGGAGAGATTCACGGGATCCAGAATTCAGAATGATTTGCTCAAAGACAAAGGGATGATTTTTGTGCACTCTTTGTCTAAGCTCTTACATGTTTACGTTTACCTAGAGAAGAAGCCTTTGGGTAAAAAACAAAGGCTACCTACCGCGGTGACCATGTGTCATCTTGACTCAACTGGTAACTATGGATACACAGTGGATATGGGGTGTCTGGTTTGTTCCACAGTGTGTATTATTCAATCTGCTTGTAGCCTTTGCTAGTCTATTGCAGGGCCTTTGAGGTGGTGGGTGACAGTGTCAATGAAGCAGTGAGTCCAGTATTATTAGAGGAACGAGCACAGCCTTTGGTGCTGTGTAGTAGGAAGTTTTCCTGTGTCCTGCCTGGTCCCGCAGCTGCTCAGACCCAAGTAAACACACAGAGGCTTACATTCGTTACAAACTGTATAGTCTATGGCAGGCCTCTTGCTAGCTAGCTCGTATATCTTAAATCAACCCATAACTATTAATCTATGGATCACCACATGTTCTGTGGCTTTACCTGCATCCCATTATATGTTGCTCCTTGGGCAGC